GTAGGGCATATGGGCCGAAAAAATCCAAGATGGCGGAGGACGTTTTCTGGCAGGTTTCAGTTCTCCTTAATTTATTTGATATCTGAGCGAAAATTTTCGTTGGGGATTTCACCGGACTGGTTGCTACAGGCTCCCAGAGCATTTCCAATCTGGAGACATCGACATACGACAGCCGAAGAAAAGCGACACCGAGATCCGCCACCGCAGCTGGCTGGGATCGACCCACCGACCATCCACCTGCCGAGCAGGGCCGGTGACCACTGGGCCAGAGTGATAACTGAAAACGAGCTCTGCTGGCCGTTGTCACTAGCCGTTCTGACGTTGCCGCCGGCCTCAGCTGCCGAGCGAGTCCGGCTGCTAGTGGCACCGGCCAGCGCAGCACGTCTTCAGTTATCACTTTGGTCTGGTGGTCACCGGCCACACTCGGCAAGCGGATGGTCAGTGAGTGTGAGTGGGTCGATCCCAGCCCGCTGCGGCGGCGGATCTCGGTTTCGCTTTTCTTCGGCTGTCGTATTTCGACGTCTCCAGTAGTGTTCTCAATCGGGCGGGTAAGAGTTTGAGCGCTTGCTCGTCGCTCCCAGCGTAAGAGTGAGAAAGCATGATGCAGCCGGCAGTTGTCTCTGTCCCTCACGTCACACTCTCTACTCAGTCCGCCGATGCAGACAGACCGACACGACTCCCGGCACTCGGCCGCAGCAGCGTCACCTGTCCCCGCAACCTCACCTTTGCCCTGCTGGCGCGGCAAAGGAAGGGTCTACGTTCGAACAGCGTGCGGAAGCGCACCGAGAGCAGGCGGAGCCGGGCGCGCGCGGCGGCGTTGCGCGGAGCGCTACTGCGCAGGCCGCCCCGCCCGAGCGCCAGCCAGCCGGGCGAGGGCGGCCAGCCATCAGCCAGGCAGCCTTGCCGGCGCCTCCGGGAAAACGGTACATTTTAGAAAAAATGTGTCGTGACCAAAATGTCAAGCTGGTCAATACGCAATATACGAGCTATCGTATACCTCGATACGACGAACGGTACTCTAACGCGGGGAATTCAAGTAAAAAGCCGGTACCCGAAACAGGTATTTTCCTTTTATCTCGACAACGAAAAGAGGTAGCGAGTTAGGGGCAGGGGCGGATCCGGCTTGCAGTTGAAGGGGGGGGGCAAAACTTGCGGGTTGCCTACTTCCAGGGGCACTTTTATGTGACCAAAAAAAACTTATTTCCCTAATTTTTATGATTTAAGGTCTGAAAATATTTTTGGGCGCACAGTAAAATGTCCCTTTTGATATTTATTTTTAAAGTTCAAGTACCGTCGTGTATGCTAGAAGTTACAGTGCAGCGGGAGAGCGAGCGAAAATTTTTGTATTTGTGCTCCTTTGGGTGGCAAATTTGAACGCTCAAGTTTCGTATGAAATGCTTCAAACGAGTGCGAAAAAGATATCCGTAATTGTGCAAAGAGGAGCTGTAAGGCCGCGAGCGAAGCGAGCGAAAAAAAATTGAGATAATAAGTGATGTATAACTCCTTAAAAACCGCGAGCGAAGCGATCGAAATTTTTCTTACGGTACGCGGTCAGCTCAAAATATAGACGTTTAAATTTTGTTTCTATTGCCAATTCAAAGTAATGAAAAATAATTGCTTTGTTCATTCATTTTCA